AGCAGCCCCCCACCCTCCCCCGTTCCCGGTCCTCGCCAAGCGCCGGGGAGGAGCCCCACGGGGGACCGAGCAGCGGCTCCCGCCGTGCCCGCGTGGGTTGAACACGCGTGAGGGGTGCGGGTCATACAGGGGAAGTTCACGCGGGTGTGCGCAAAGAGCGGAAGGTGCGGAGCTGTGGGCGAGCGGCTCTGCCTGCGGGGCACCCTGGCATCTGCCCACGGGGAAGAGAAACCCCGGGCAGCCCCACAACGGGCAGCGGGATTCTCCAAAACCGTCAGGGAGCGAGGGCTGGGGTAAATCCTGGCCAGTGGAGGAGCCCCAGCACCGGAGCAGGCAGCAGGAGGGATCCCAGCTCCGCTGCCTATCCATGGATGCCGCAGACCTGCCGCAGCCTGGGCACTGCCCCCCGGCCACCCTCGAGCGATCCGGGCAGGGACAGTCCTGTTGGGTGCTGACAGAGGACCCAGGGGGCTCCTGGGATGACCCTGCAGCTCCTGGGGGTGTCACATCTCTGGGCTTTTGTCACTCTCAGCAGGTGATGGGTTTTGGGGTCTGAGCCCACCCCTCGGACCACCTGGTCCTTCCTCAGCCCGGGGCAGAGCTGGAAGGTCCAGTGAATACATGCACTGTGTTCCCTCCTGCTCACAAAATAAAAAGGGGATTTGTGTGTCCTGAGGACTCGGGAGGTGACAACCAGTGTCACATCAACCTGAAGATGTTTCTCGGATTCTTTGGAGCAGGATGTGCAGGCTGAGGCAGGGCACGGGCTGGCAGAAACCTCCCGAAAGTGATGCAAGATGCCACGGTGTTGGGGGATTGGCAGAGCCCAGCTGGAGCAGGGAACCCAGGGAACTTGAAGCCCTGCCAGGCCAGTGCTCCAACATGTCCTGTGCCCACTGCGCTGTGCTCCAAGGTCTTGACCACACGGAGCCCCTGGCCCTGGCCAAGCCAGAGGTGCCATGTAAACAGAGTCTGGGAAAAAGCACCCACCGGAGGTGATGCAACCTCGGAGCAAGGGGCAAAGGGCTCAGCTGGCCGGGCCCGCTGGCAGCTCCCAGAATAGCCCAGGAATGTCAACAGAGAGGAAGGAGCGGGCACAGGCTGGCCCGGGAGCACAGATCCCACAGGGCCTGGGAGCCCTGGCCGCAGGCAGGACAGGATGGAGCAGGTGGCACTTCCAGCCAGGCCCAGGGCACACGTGCTCACGGGCAAAGGTGCTCCCACATGGAGAGCGACTTCTTAAACCACCTGGAGTGACAGGAGTAGGGTGATGCCTTCCCTCTGGCAGAGGACAGAGTGAGGTGGGATATGGGGAAGCAATTCCTCGCTGTGAGGTTGGTGAGGCACGGCCACAGGTCGCTCAAAGAAGCTCCCCCATCCCTGAAGTGTTCAAGGCCACGTTGGACAGGGCTTGGAGCAGCCTGGCGTGGTGGAAGGTGTCCTTGCCTGTGGTAAGGGCTGGAACTGGATGAGCTTTAAGGCCCTTTCCAACCCAAACCATCCCAGATTCTGTGGTGCACACTTCCACACGTTCAGGCCCCCCCTCTCAAATTGTCTGCATACCTGCTCCATGCTGGACAGGCTCCTTGTGCCCCACACGCCCCTTCCCTGCTGTGCTGTATTCCTCCATCCCTGCCAGCTCCCAGAGCCAGGGCTGGGGCTGGCACAGCAGGAAACAGGAGACAAAGTTTGGGAAAACGGACAAGGAACCCTCTGGAACACCCACCCTCCATTCCAGGCTGCGAGCGGGGTGTCCCCAAAGGGATCAACCCTGTTGAACCTGCAATGGGGCAGCACCCCATTGTGGGTCTCAGATTCAGTCAAAGAAAGAAACTGAGAGTTTCTAGCCAGGCAGAAGCCTGGGAAAGTGCTGGGAAAGAATGTAAATAATTCTTTATCTCTTGTTTTTCACATTGTTTATAGTTAAGTTCTATCACCGTGCGTCAAGCACTCTGCACCAATGCTGTGGGTTGTTTTCACTTCAGGACCAATGGATTTGATCCTTGCAAAGCTCTGTATAAAAGAGCAGTGTATTTTGAATAAATCCGTTTTACTCTCAGCAGCCTTCTGAGTCAGAGTCTTCTTCTCATTCCCCTCCTGCCTCGACAGCAACACCCCATGAGCCCCCACAGCACCTCCAGCTCAGCATCCGAGCCCCAGCCCCTCGCTCCTCGTGCCCCCTGGCACGCTCCAGTCCCGGATCTAGGGCAGGGGTCAGCACGGAGCTCTTGCACCCGTTGCATAATTGTGTTGTTGATTAAGCGGTTCCCAGAAAGCAAAGCCCAGGCACTGACCTGACCAAAATACCCCCCAAGGTCCCCCCCTGGGCCCAGCACCAGGTGCACACATGGCTCCGGGGCCTCTGACCCCGTGGCCGCTGGGGCGAACGTGGCACCTGGTGACCTGACCCGGAGATGACAATGGCTGGGCTAAGCCAGGACCCCCCAAGAGTTTGTGCAGCAGCACCTGGGCACGGCTCGTGGAATCATGGAATCATGGAATCATGGAATCATGGAATCATTAAAGCTGGAAAAGCCTGCATCGTTGAGCCCAACCCAGCCCAGCCAAGGCCGCCACTAAACCACGTCCCCAGCTGCCGCATCCACGTGTTTTTGAACACTTCCAGGGATGGTGCCCTGGACAACCCATTCCAGGCTTGGTCACCCTTTCCATGATGAAATTTTCCTTAATCTCCAATCTAAACCTCTCCTGTCACAGCTTGAGGCCGTTTCCTCTTGCCCTGTTGCTCGTTCCTCGGGGGAGAAGCACCAGTCACCACAGCGGTGGCACTGGCTGGGAATGGGCCATGAGACTGGGAATTAAACATTAACTCTTCTCAAGGCAAGGGAAGGGACTGTTAGAAATTCCCACCCCTCCTGGGAGCTGGACCTGCCCAGGGGGCACTTGGCACAGTGTGCTTGGACCTTTGCTTCAGAGGCTGTTGATTCTGGAAAAGGCTCCTTCCAGCACATCTGGCCCCTCCTGGAGTGGAGATCAAGGGGACATCGTATCTGTCGCCATCTGTGTCACATCTGCATCTGGGCTGATTCCATGGATGCCGTGTCCCCACGGCATTGCTGTGCTGGGGGCTGCAGGGTGGGCTCCCCACTGGCCTTACTGGTCCCAACAGGAAAATCTCCCAGTGCTGGGCCTGAGCCACCCCTTCCAAAGCCCCCTGGGAGATCAGGGGACACCAGCAGAGCACGGTGGCATGGCAGGGAGGAAGGATCCCTGGCTCCAGTCACCCTTCCCTGGCCGCACCTTGGTCACCCTGCATGGGAAGAGCCACTTTGGAATTCCTGAGCCTTGGCCACCCCGCGCTGTGGGTGAGGAAGGGGCTGTCGGCTGCATCCAGGTTCTTCTTTCCCATTGGAGTGGGACAAACCTCAGCTCAGCATCTCAGGCTTGTGCTGCTTGAGCTGTAGGGCCACAGGACCAGCCAAGGGCTCTCTTGTCCCTTCCCTCCGTGCCCGCGGCTGCTGCATCCCAGGACGCTTGGCACTGGCTCCAGGGAAGTTGTTTGTTCAATAAATATAGACAGTGAAATGAGGAGTTGGAAAAAGAAGGGATAAAACAAACACCAAACCCTCTCTGGGTTTGCGCAAGCGGCCTTGGGTCCCAGACGGGATCGATCCCCGAGCCTTCCTCCCTTCCCCTGGGGCAGGAGCGCTGCGGGCCCAAGGCACCGCACCTGGATCTGGGGAGATGGGGGTTCCTGCTCCAGCAGGGCTGGTGGGAGGGTGTGTGCAACGCTGTCACACGCTTGTGGCCCTTCCATCCCTTCCATCCCTTCCCGTGCCGCCGATCCTCCAGGACCGCGCATCCCTGCTCCAGCCGGGGCTGCTCGTGGCCTGTGGCTCGCTCCTCCCAGAGCAGGCAGAGGATGTGAGGCTGGGTGGGGAGAGGCTCTGAGAGCACCTCCTCGCTCTTCAGACCCTTTCCCCACCTGCACCAGTTCTGTCCCAGCCTCTGGGGTTGGTTGTCAAGGCCTGGAGGTGGATCTCAGGACTGAGGTCACCTGGCAGGGGACATGGGGATCTCCATTCCATTTGGGCTTCATGGGGGCACCTGCTACAAGTGGCCAAGCGCCGTCACCTGCTCCTGGCTCCTCTTCATCCTTCTCCACATGCACAATGTGCATCCTGCCCTGGCTCAAGCACATCTGCTCACGGCTCATCATCCTGGAGTGGGTAGTGGATGCAAAGCTGGGTGGGGAGAGGATCTGACACCATCTCCTCCCTCTGCTGACCCTCTGCCCACCTGGATCAGCCGTGTCCTGGCCTCTGTGGTTGCTTGGCAGCACCTGCAGGGTGAACCCTAAAGCTGAATCACCCCTCAGGGATCACCCCAGGACGCCCACCCCAAATATCCCACCCCAGCACCTTCTCCCCTCTTTTCCTGTCCTCGTGGGTGGGGGACACGTGTGGAGGGGTGGAGAAACCCGAACCCGCGGTTACGTAACGGGGCAGAAGTGTCGGAGCCGCCCTTTGTCCCCCGCTCTCACGGCCCTGACCTGTCCCACTTCGCTGTCACTGGGCTGCGAGGGGCAGCGGGCCAGGGATGGGCCGAGGGGATGCTCTGCAGTGGGGGAGCTGGGGCCGAGGGGGCCTGGGGGGGTCCTGGCTGCCCCAAAGTCCGTCCGCTTCAAAAGGCAGAAGAGTTTCCCAGTTCTGTCCTGATTTGGGCCAGGGATGGCCAAATACAGGTGGTTTTGGTGGAATAGGGAATTTGGCCCAAGCAAGGAGTGGCGGCTTTCCTGGTGGGAATTACAGACCAGCTGTGCCCCATGCTATTTCCTGGATTTGGCTGGGATGAATGAGGGGTCCTGCATCCCCCTGGGAAAGGCAGCTGAGAGGGGCAGAGGGCACGGGAGATATTTGGGAGCAGTGTGGAGAGGCCCAGTCCCACTGCCTGGGTTTTCAACGGCAGACTGGGTCTGTCCCGTGCCATCCCAGGAGCACTGGGAGGAAGATGTGCCAGTGAATGACAGGGCACACTCGTGCACACACCACTGGGAGTCTTTATTGAACAGCAGCCAGCTGGGATGCTTGGAGAGAGAGAACATTCCTCCCACTGGGACTGATTTCCCTCTCCTCTCCCTGCTCAGCCGCGTGTCCAGCTGAGTGGGGCCATGGGGTGACCCCTGTCCTCTGTCCTCGCCAGCCCCACAGCCCAGGTGGCCACTGGAGGGTCCTGTGCTGATGGAGCTGCACCCAGGGCGCACCAGAACCTTGGGCTGGGACGGTCCTGACCCGGCCTCTGCAGCATCCAGTAGAAGTCTGTCAGTCCATCAGTCCCTCCGAACTCCATCAGGAGCCAGTCAGAGGGGCTGTGAGAAGAGTCCATGGGCAGATACGAAGCCGTGTGGGAGGTGCGATAGGAGGGGACTCGCACATTCAGCATCACCCTCGATGCTTCACCCGCAGGAGGAGAAACCCCCCCGGCAGAGCTCCTCCCTCCCAGCCGGGAGCCGGGAGCCCCGTCCCGCCGTGTCCCGTCCTCCCAGCCGCTCCGGCTCGGCTCAGGTGCAGCCGCAGGAGTCCACGATCATGTCGGGGATGTCGGTCTTGACGATGTTGCTGTCGCGGTCGTAGTAGAGCAGGGAGAGGGGCCGGCGCTGGGTGGGAACGCAGCAGGAATCCACGGCCGCCGCCGCGCTCGCCGCCTTGATGCGGTTGAGGACGGCGGTGTGGAAGGAGGCGGCGAGGCCGGGAATTCCGGCCATGTGCAGCGGGCACAGCCCCGCGCAGTAATTCATGTGGTACCCCTCGGGCTGGATGATCCAGTCCTCCCAGCCGATCTCCTTGAAGTCCACAAAGAATTCCCGGCGGCAGCACATCCGCGAGTCCGCGCCGCAATCGACGCCGCGCCGACGGACGCGGTGCGGGGTCCTGGCCCGGGCTTGGGCCACCACAAACGGCCAGTGGGAATCGGACGGGAGAGGGGAACCCCAGTCCTCTGGCACCTCCAGTTCCACCGTGAGCCGCGGGGTCTGCTGGCCGAAGAGGCTCCGGACAGCCGCTCCGATGTCCAGCGTGGTCCAGCCGGGGCTCCGCACCTCCAGCCGCGTCTCGCTGGCCGCTGTCGAGTTGGGCCCCGCCGGCTCGGGCTGCAGGAGCCTGACGGTGACGGGCTGTGCCCCGCGGCCGGGGGCGGCCCAGAACAGGTACAGGGTGGCCTGCTGGATCTCAGTGCTCCCGGCCACCTCCTGGGAGAAGCGGAAATGCAGGCGGACGCTGTGGGATGTGGAGGACCCTGCGCACGGAAGAGCAGAGTCAGGAGCGAAGTGAAGAGGGGACTGATCCTGTCCCAGCCCTGCCACGGGGAAGGGGTGTGTTATGTGTGGTAAATATAATTCGCGCCATTCCTTGTGTGAAATATGGAATATTGGATACTTGTTAGATTATGCCCGTTTGTATTAGTTCCTCCCCACTTTGCAGGCGAGACTGGGTGTATATTGGAAACTGAGTCACAAGTAAAAGGATGTGACTCGGCCAGGAGATGAGCCATGGCTGGACTCCAGGTGTTGACAATTGGGACTCCAGGTGTTCACCATCAGGACTCCAGGTGTTGATCGTCGGGACTCCAGGTGCTGACCATCGGGTGCTGATCATCTTGGGTAAACGACCCAAGATGGATCTCATGGAAATGCTCAGACAGATCCATGTGAATGCAGCATTCCCGTAAATCTCACCAGGGATTCACCTACTCCGGACACTGAATTATTCCTCCTCATCACCAAAAAAGAAAATCTTATTAACCTATGGACTCTGAATAGAAGAAAAGACTGATTGCTGAAATCTTGGCCTCAGGTGGAATTTTCCCTATAAAACTTCCTTGGGCCAGGATGGAGGGGTGGGCATAGGGGAAAACCTCTGCTGAGGCTGACTCCGTTTTGCACACCCAGGGTCAATCCCCAGGCTTGGCTCTGTCTTTTTCCGTGGCTGGCTAGATAGAATTCGACCACTAATACAATTATCTTTATTTTTAATCTGGCTGAATAAATTCTCAGTTATAACAGGTGGAACAGGATCAGTAGAAGGGACACCTTCCACTATTCCAAGTTGCTGCAAGCCTCGTTCAGCCTGGCCTTGGACACTTCCAGGGATGGGACAACTTCTGTGGGCAACCTGTACCCACCCTTGCCGGGAGGAGTTCCTTCCCCAAATCCCATCCAAATCTCCTCTTTTCCAATGTGAAGCCATTTCCCCTTGTCCTGGCACTCCAGGCCCTTGTCCAAAGTCCCTCTGCAGCTCTCCTGGAGCCCATGTTGGTGCTGGAAGGGGCTCTGAGGTTTCCCCAGAACCTTCCCTTCTTCCTTGGCTGCAGAGCTGCTGCTCCTCCTGCCGGGGCCATGAGAGCACTCGGAGCTCCTGGCACAGCTCTGCCCGTGAGGACACAATCCCCTGCCCGTGCTCCAAGCCTGGGTTCACCCCCTGGCTCCATTCCAGCTGATGCTCCACCAAGCCAGGAGACAGCTCCCCATTGTCCTGGAGTGAGGGAACACAATGTGCCACGGAGCAGCATTGTACCCGGGGGGCTTTGAGGGCCTGCGAGGGGAGAGGAGCCCCCCCACCTCACCAAGAGGAATTTGGGTTGGGAAAGTGAGGGTGCAGGATGCTCTGTGGGATCAGGTGGTGAGTCTGCATCTCTCCAAGGAAAGCTGTCTGCGAGAAGTGGGATACTTTTATTCCAGTGGTGATTTTTTTTTTTTTCAGAAGCTCTGAGTGTGCTTTGGGGAGTTTTCTCTTCCCAGAAGCAGCAGATTTTGGAGTGAAATGAGGCACCCAGTGCTTTGGGTGGGATGTGGAGGCACAGTGAGCTGTGCAGCTCCATCCACACGCTACGGGCTGACAGAAAATGGAGGCTAAAAAATCCAATTTCGGAAAACGTGGCCATATGACCCCTTCACCTCCAGCACAAGGGGGGAGGGTTCAGCCGAAGTAGACAGAGCAGCACATCTGCACTCCGTGCCACCCACCCATCCGTGCGTGGTACGCTCGGCAGGTTCGGGATCTCCCGCAGCTCCCGGCAGCAGCGTTCCCCCATCCCGCTGCACCGCCCGGTACCGCCGTGCCTCCCCCACCTCCCTCCGCGCCCCCCGCCCGCGGGACGCGGATTTTCCTCACCCTGCTCGGCGAAGCTCAGCATCTCGTACTCCTGCAGCCGCATCCCGGGCCGGGCAGGGACGCGGCCGTCCCGGAGCATCCCGGGGCTGGCGGCCGCGTCCGAGCGCTGCGCTCGCATCCTGCGGAGCGCGGTCAGGAGGGCTCCCCGGGACGGCGGCTGCGGCACGCTGGGCCTGCCCGGTAAACCGAGCTTGGCCAGGATGCTCCGCTTGGCCAGCGCCAGGAGCGCGTCCCGCTGCGCTCCGGGAGCCAGCGCGGCCACCCCGCAGGCCGGGCACCACTCGCCCTTGGCAGCAGCCGTCCGGAGGAGGCTCAGGAGAAGGAGAGCCACGGTGACCATCATCTCCCGGTGGCGAGAGGCGACAGCGTGCGAGTGCCAGCGGTGTCCGAGAAGCAGAATGGGATGAGCCGGCGGGCGAGGGAGCGGAGCAGAGTGGCAGAACTGGACTGAGCGGGAGCACGGGGCGAGGATGGGCTCGTTCTCCTGACGTGGCCACAAATATTGGCTGATCCCGGCAGAGATAAACGCCCCTGCGCTCCGCCGGAGCCGCCCGGGCGCGGCCAGAGTGGCGAGGCCGCTCCGGTTAAGGTGGAGCCGGGCCGATGGTGCTGCTGCTCCGGGGGCGCGGAGCGGGGACATCGAGGCCACCCCGGTGCCACCCCGGTGCCACCTCGGTGCCACCCCGGCGGGGCGCGGGCAGAGACGTGGTGGGGACATCGGGGGGATCCAGGGTGTCCTGGAGGTCCCCGTGCGGTGTGGGGACCGCGGAGGTGGGGGATCCCCGAGGGCAGGGGATCTCTGGAGGTCGGGGAGCCTCAGAGAAGGGGGATTTTGGGGGGTCTTGGGGTCGTTGGAGATGGGAGGTCCCGACCGATGTGGGATCCCGGGGAATGGGGATGGCAGGATGAGAGATCCTTGGGGATGGGAGATCCATGGGGGGGATGAGAGATCCCTGGGAATGAGGGATCTCCAGAGATGTGGGACTCCCGGGGATGGAGACTCCCTGGAGAATTTGGACCCCGGGGAGATGTGGGACCCCTGGGGAATTTAGGATCCCTGGGGATGGAGGATCCCGGGGGATGCGGGTCCCTGGTGATGTGGGACCTCTGATTAATTTGGGATCCCTGGGGAATTTGGGACCCCCAGGGAGATATGAGACCCTTGGTGAATTTGGGATCACTGGGGATGGAGGATCCTGGAGGATGTGAGATCCCTGGTGATGTGGGACCCCCGGGGGTGGAAGATCCTGGAGGATGTGGGATCCCTGGTGATGTGAGACCCCCAGGGACATGTGGGACCCCTGATTAATTTGGGATTCCCGGGGATGGAGGATCCCGGAGGATGTGTGGTCCGTGGTGATGTGGGACCCCCGGGGAGCTGTGGGACCCCTGGTGAATTTGAGATCCCGGGGGATGCGGGACCCCCGGGGAGCTGTGGGACCCCTGGTGAATTTGGGA